CCTGGCATTACTATAAGTCCATGGGCGACAGTAACCACTCACCATCAGGTAGCCCGTATTCTCGTTTACATATAAGGACAATTAAAAAAAACCCAGCCTTAGCAAAAAAAGTGCTAATAGTTTTAATTAGATTAGCTAAAGTTAACCGGGTGGGTTGTTAGATTTTGCTCCCATTAATGCAATTTAAAAAAAATATTCAGCATCCTCCACGAGACACGTTATCTAACTCTTAACTGTAAATAAATAGAAGGAGCGGTATTATCAACTGATTTGTGATTACTTACAGTTGGTTTTGCCACTAACATTGACTCAACACCGTATCAATGCTAGAACGTTTACGTTTAGTAGCCAGAATTAATACTTAATATTTTTCTATTTGCTTTAGTTGGTATAGTATTGGTACGGATTAGTCGAATTAGCTCAATACGAGGTGCAAGTTTCAATTGAATTGAATTAACTAACGCCTGTCGCACACTTTGGGAACCGAACGTATCGATACGATAAAAAGTTTGACGTGCGACTTAATCCATACATCATACGCTGAGTTTCTCGTCGGATTTTCTCAGCAAGTCATGATTCCGATATAATAAATTTATTCGCGATGTAGCTGCTGCCCTTGTGCTGTAAGGTATTCCCCGGAGGCGCTCAGGCAGCTATTAGCTAATTCCATTCCTCCTGGCTGAGCCCGTACTCGCCCACCTGTCCGGGTGAAACTGGAAAGGCGTACGAGACACCAGTAATTCTCCCTTCAACCAAAAAAAAAAACATGGATAATACCAGGCGAAATAGCACGTCTAATAGCCGTGTTTAAATTTAACCATAAATAACGTTTTGAATAATAAAATTAATTAATTAAGAAATCGCTGAATACGAAATTCGAATAAAAACAACAACAAAAAAAAGCCGACTCCACGTTATACGTACGTAACATAACAACTACACAAACTGTGCAAACCGTCGCAGTACAAACGTGCGCTTGACTCGGACGAAACGCGTTTAAAAAAACTTGCCATTTCGAATTTGCGGGTTTTGTTTTTTTTTTAAATTGAGTTCGTGTGAAATCGAATTTCGAATTTCCGTTTTCGGTACCGGTATTGTTTGCGTTCTTCATTCGAAATTGTTTATAGTGATGCGTGTAGTGTTTTTTTGCGAGTGATACGTCATCATAAATGCGGCATAAGATTACCATTATATACAGCCTTGTAATGCTATGAAAACTCATTCACGGCATTGCGATTATATAAATTCGAATCTACGATTTACGGTTTTTATAAACATACGTGTTTAGTTTTTTTTGGTCACTCCAACCTTGACCTCTAGATGAAACATTTAGAATTTCCATTTTAAAAAAAAAACTTAACAAAAAAACGCTTGTATCTATTGTATTTCCATCAGAAGCAAACACGATATACATCATTTGAAATGTTCAAGCTGGTTACCCGACCGTGTTCTTGAAATTTACTTAATAATTTAAAAAGAAATACTTCTATTTTCCCCTTTTTATTACTTATCCGAGGCGTTAATCAATCTTTCTTGTTTTTTAATCAATTGGTTCACATGACTCTGTGTTTACCGTCCCGCCTCTTTCTGTCGGGAAGATCACGCATGCCGGTTTGAGGGTCACCCCAAAATCGCCTGAAGCGGTTTATTACAAATGAAAGGTCATCTCCTTTCGCCCTCTCCGCCGATTCAATGACCATCGTTGTTACTGTGTAGGTCTGAATTTACTAACATTCGTCTTGTGAGTCCGCACGGGTAGGTACCGGCACCTTGACTATTTCTGCCGTGAAGCAGTAATGCGTTTCGGCTTGAAGGGTGGGGCAGCCGTTGTACTGTAAAAACCGAGATCTTAGAACTATTATCTCAAGGTAGGTGGCGGCATTTACGCTGTAGATGGGTCTATGGGCTACGGTAACCACTAAACATCAGGTGGGCCGTGAGCTCGTCCACCCATCTAAGCAATAAAAAAATATATTGTAATGTCGATTTCTGTCACTAAGCGTCCGGATTGCCTAATTTTGTTGTCTTTTAGGTTTAGCTGGTGTTAGGTGTTAAGTGGTTACTGGAGCCCATAGACATCTACAGCGTAAATGCGCCACCCACCTTGAGATATAGGTACTAAGATCTCAGTATAGTTACAACGGCTGCCCCAACCTTCAAATCGAAACGCATTACTGCTTCACGGCAGAAATAGGCAGGATAGTGGTACCTACCCGCGCGGACTCACAAGAGGTCCTACCACCAGTAATTCAGTGCGCCGCCTAGGGCACCGATGACCTAGATGTCAAATAAAGGGTATAATAATATCCAATCGACCTCATGTCTCAAGGCGGGTCACGGTATTCATACTGTGACGTCTGCGTCTATGGCATACGTTAAGTGAAACGTGTTCCACTCATTAAGTATGTCGCATCATTGAATGGCGCATACGAATAAATATTAACACATATTACGACGACCTATTAATGTCCTTTTAGTCGTTCTGATGAACGGTGTCATACATAAACTAACAATTAATTTAAACTAGAGGTCCCGCAGTTGTCGAAATTCGACTATAATTAATTGGAATTGTAAGTTTGTACACTATTATGATTGTATTTTATACTTCTATAATCACAAATTTCGCCAAGACTACACTATAAAAAATATTAACAAAGACAAACAATATTTAATCTATTCTCAATTTGACCACAGACGTCAAGAACAAAGGTTTGACAATAAATAGTATGCATGCGTGTGTGCGTCAAATACATGGTATGTAGTGTGTGTAATGTTTTCTTTATTGATTTAATGTATATTTTATGTATTATTTTAAAAAAATATTAACATTGTGCACTTCTTCTCTATATTCTCTATAAGTGTGGAAAATTTCATACTCTACAGTTCGCGCAATTTTCGTAAAAAGGGATACAAAGTTTTTGCTTCACGTATTAATATATAGATAAACTCGCATTTCGGTTTTTTTTTAAATTTATATTAATATCCCTCCCTTTTTTTGTACTATATTAAATCTGTTTAAGATGCATCCACTCGGTGAGAGTCTAAAAATCTTGTAGTGTACAACGTGAGTCTCATATTATGAAGAGATACCGGCTGTATATTATATTTATTTATTTCATTTACTTCAGATTTTGCATACATATTACATTAATTAACAATAACATTTCATATAGAATATCACAATTAGATAAAAATAATATCTACAAAATCGGAATAAAATAAAAATAATAAAAACAAAAAAATTATAAAATTTATGATCTATTTTTTAGTTGGATTTTCTATAAAGGCGTAATTTTTTTTTAAATTATTGTTTATTTTTAATTTTTTAGTTGAATTTAATTTTTTTAATTTTTTTTTTTAATATTGAATTGTCATCAGCCAAATACCATACCAAACCATACCATACCAGCCGTATACCAAATTTCGAGTTAATTCGACATTTTGAAGGGGGTCAAAATCATGTTCAAAGATTCCGGTACATACTAACATATAATACATACGTCTGAAGCTAATAGAAGCGTATTAAAAATTAATGTCAAAACTACCTTAACCTAAAACTTGGTTTGGATCCAGAGTGCTCAACATACACACGTGTCCAGTGTTGCGTTATTGGGCAGTCCAGATCCATTTGCGAGGCGAACAGTCGTAGATACCTGTTGCGACTGACCCGCACGCGGCGTATCAGGGAAGCACCAATGATTGCTGCGAAGCTATCTATTTGCCCATCCGCAAACATCCCCGACGCACCGCAATGACGTGGCAGCCACATCAGTGTGCTTAGTGCGAGTTTCTTAAAGCTCTCGATAGCGTAAAAGTTAAGCCAATTTTGTATACAGTTGGAACAGCGCCCCTAGCGGCAAAGGTACCCAAACGATCCCATTCCATACAAATATGAGCTAACTTTTACGCTATCGAGAACGTTAAAAAACTCGCACTAAGCACACAGAGCTCTGAAATCGTTATTATATTGGACACGCAGGGTATTGTAGGATTTCTTGGTATACTTAACCCATAGGCTGTACGTGTAGAAAGACTGACAGTATGCTTTGAAAAGAACTTTCATTTCTGCAGTACACCGCTCGAACCCCCGGTCACCGTTCTCGTCGAACCCTTCGCTTGCAACGAGTAAATTAACTCTCAGACACCGCCCACTGAATTTCTTCGCCGGATCTTCTCAGTGGGTCGCGTTTCCGATCCGGTGGTAGATTCTGCGAAACACGACTCTTGCTAGGGTTCGTGTTAGCATCGTCGTCAGGTTTGAGCCCCGTGAGCTCACCTACTAGTTACGGTTACGCTGGAATAGCCGCTCCAGGCTACCAGCTTAGGTAGAAAAAAAAACTTACGACCTAACGTATTACCCCTGATTAACAAAGCCCTGCACTCCCTGTCCTACATCGTCTGCAAGCGTCTCAGTTGACCCAGTGACCCAGATACATGAATTGCAATACTTGCTTAAGAACACTGCCGCTGAGTGTGACTGATGGGACAGTTTCATAGGTCTTTCTGCTTGATTTTAATAGCATTAGTTGGCTTTTAACGGCATTATATCTGAGCCCATGTTCCTTTGCATAACGCTCGCATATCCTAACCTGCTTTCTGAGAGCCCTGATCGATGGGCTCAGCAACACCATATCGTCTTCATAACTGATGTTATTAACAAACGCACCGTCAATGGAACAGCCGACACTGACATTGTTGTGTTCACGACTTAGGCATAAATTAAAAAGGCTTGGCGATGGCAAGCCACCTCGTGTTACCCCACAATCCAGCCTATACATATCCGATTGCGACCCCGACCACTCACAAAGTTGCTCTGCTTACCATACCAGTATTTCAAGAGAGAGACAAACTCATGATGCAAGTCAGTATCATTCGACAACTTATCCCACAACCTGTCATACGTCACCAGATCAAACGCTTTAGATAAGTTTAAAAAGCAGGTGTAGATAGAAGTGACTCTGTCTGTGTAGTACTGGACGGTATGTTTGAGATTCAGTATGGCCGTTTCAGTCAAGAGTCCAGGTCGAGAGCCGAACTGGGCATTGTGCCATATTAACCGTGCGCCGCCAAGCCTTTTACCCGGTTAGGCGAGGGTTAGATTAGAGTCTAACCGGGTAACATAAATTCCCCCTTTTGCCTTTCAATTCCCTGCCTATCTTGAAACACGTTCTTAGACCGTGGTACTAACATCTGTGGCTTCCAAATCTACTGCTATTTTGTTTATCCAAAGTCATGTTGTCCCTGCCTATTCGCTGGTATTCTAAGAGGCTAATCTAGCTTCGCGCTGTCAGCTGAGCTCACGGGCTAAACCTAAGAGAACTTGCTAACACTAGCCCCTAGCAAGAGCAGTACTCCGCAGAATCTGAAATGTGATTGGTGTACCTAGTTACAATTCGTTTTGTTAACGTGACGTCATTGCGTTATTGTTGTATAAGGGTTTGGAGGATTCAATTAATTGTAAGTCACGTGTACCAATTGCGTGCCCATAAGGAAAACAATAGAGAAGCTTTACGTAAGTTCAATTTGTATTTCACTTCACATTTCAAAGTTTGTTTTTTATTTATGAGCTGGGCATGTGTATGTGTATAATGAGTAAGTTCTTTTTTTTAAAAGCTACATGGTTAGGCGGGCTTTTGGCTCGCCGTATATTAGGTTAATAGAGATGAGACATAGTTATCGATCGTGTCTAAGGAAACTATTGTAAGATGCCAGTCACCGTTTGGCGTTCAAGGGTTCGGTGACACACACAGTTATTGGTGGTAGGACCTCTAGAGTCCGCGCGGGCAGGTACCACCGCCCTGCCTATTTCTGTCGTGAAGCAGTAATGCGTTTCGGTCTGAAGGGTGGGGCAGCCGTTGTAACTATACTGAGATCTTAGAACTTACATCTCAAGGTGGGTGGCGCATTTACGTTGTAGACGTCTATGGGCTCCAGTAACCACTTAACACCAGGTGGGCTGTGAGATCGTCAACCCATATAAGCAATAAAAAAAAAAGGTACAGCTCACTGAGTTTCTCACCGGATATTCGCGGTGTGTCGCGTTTCCGGCGGTAGATTCTATGAAGCACTGCTCTTGCTACGGCTAGTGTTAGGAACTTAATCCGGTTAGAGCCCCGTGAGCTCACCTACTCGCCCGGTCACGCTGGCATTAGCCCCTAGGTTACTTATTACTAGGTACAACTGTGGCGGGTAGCCATCATACAACACAAGATATTTGACAGATGCCTGAATCTCGCTTACGACATTTTCAATATAAGCTTGCATATATACAAGTTCCGAACAACAACATTCGGACCGTCGGTCTACCGAGCAACATCACCCGCTCGGTGGAAGATCTTTTCTTCGTCGTTAAGCCTACACTGGTGACCCCGACGTGATAATTCCGCCTCCCCACACTACTACTTACTTACTAGGTACTAGCTTAGGTAGGATTCATTTTTGTGAGAGGAGTATTATTCAGGAAAGCTTTCTCCATTGCCAAAGTTTTGCTGGTGGTCTTTTTTGGTTATAAGCTGCTACAGAAACACGTCAACTCTTCAGCAATTGTCGTCCATCTGGAGATATATGTATAGTTACAGTTTATTAACGTAATAAGCTTAATATATTTATAAGAATTTATTTATTATATATATATTTTTTGAAGTCGTCGTGGCCTATGCGATAAGACGTCCGCTGCATTCGTGTTGAAGCGATACACCGGTGTTCGAATCCCGCAGGCGGGTACCAATTTTTCTAATGAAATACGTACTTAACAAATGTTCACGATTGACTTCCACGGTGAAGGAATAACATCGTGTAATAAAAGTGAAACCCGCAAAATTATAATTTGCGTAATTACTGGTGGTAGGACCTCTTATGAGTCCGCGCGGGCAGTAACCACCAGGTGGGCTGTGAGCTCGTCCACCCATCAAAGCAATAAATAAAAAATCTATGAACTTGTAAGTACAAGTATCGATAAGTATCGAATTATACTTATTGATGTCATAAGAATTTTTAATAATAATGTTACTGTGTAGGTACTAACGACATTTTTTATTTAATTTATTTCAATTACATATCATACAAAAAATTATTACTAACCTGTAGAAACAAAGAAACGATATTTAAAGTATATTTTATAGTAGACTAGCTGACCCGGCAGACTTCGTAGTGCCTCAATCGATAAATAAAAGACCTGAGCTCTTGTATAAAATAAATTTAAAACAAACAACAGAAATCCGTCCGACGGGGGACACATCAAAGGAAAAACAAAATTGTTATTTTTATTTAATTGCGAGCATTTTCATATTTATCTACCTTTTAAACCTTCTCTGGACTTCCACAAATAATTCAAGACTAGAATTAGCCAAATCGGTCCAGCCGTTCTCGAGTTTTAGCGAGACTAACGAACAGCAATTCATTTATATATATAGATTTGTTCACAATTATATATCTAAAATAATTTTGTAATTTCATATTTCATCATCTCTGTCATCGCTGTTTTATTGATATTCTACATTAATTTGTAATGATTTTCAAACCAGCTCAAGTGTGGAAAGAATTTACGTTAGAGGAAGTCAACCTTATTTACATATTTTTTAATATTTCGATGATCGTGGTAGGGACGGCCTGTGTCCGCACGGGTAGGTTGCACCACCCTGCCTATTTCTGTCGCAAAGCAGTAATGTGTTTCTGTTTGAAGGGTGAGACAGACCTTACAGTATACGTTTGAGGCTTAAAGGTATGGCACAAATACAACTCGACGTTAAAATTTGTTTTGTTAGCCTTTGAAAGAACTGAAGTCTGTACTAGGTTCAAAGATCTGTATTACTGATCTCCAGACTAACTTTTCCCAGGTTTCGTTAGGATAAGTTAGAATACGAACGTCTCAGTAAAGTAAGCTGGTTTAATTACTTTTATACTGAGACTATACTGAGACCTTAGAACTATATCTCAAGGTGTGTGGCGCATTTACGTTGTAGATGTCTATGGGCTCCAGTAACCACTTAACACCAGGTGGGCTGTGAGCTCGTCCACACATCTAAGCAATAAAAAAAAAATTAGACCAAAGTCGTTTATGAACTTAATAATATACGATAATAGCGATTAAATATATCTACATTAAAACACATTTATTGGTCACGTTCTGCATAATGACGTCAACGCGGAATGGATGGTTTCATGCATGAACGCTCTCACTATTAATGTGTTCCAGTTTAAATGCTGAATATGCTTAACGCAAACAATGATATGTGCGCGCGTCTCATTTATAACTGGTTTGGTTTAATCGTTCCACTGGTGTAGGAGAATTATGGATTGTATTTTATTGCAGAGATGGGTGACCCATCTGGTGTCAAGTGGTTACCGAAGCCCATAGATATATATAACGTAAATGCGCCACCCACCTTGAGATATAAGTTCTAAGGTCTCAAGTATAGTTACAACGGCTGCCCCGCCCTTCAAACCGAAACGCATTACTGCTTCACGGCAGAAATAGGCAGGGTGGTGGTACCTACCCGTGCGGACTCATGAGAGGTCCTACCACCATTAAATATATAAATATGCCTTCGGCAAATTTGCTGGGAAACGAGAGGGCTTGTTTTGTCCCTTTCCCGCAAAGTGAGTGTCGGCGTAGAATTTTTACATTTCACATGAATACTGACGTCATTGTGCAATGTAGTCCTCACAATATTTTTTTTCCAAGTAGGGCTTATTTTTGTTTTCGTTAATCGATGATCAATACAATATCGATCAACTCTAGCCAACTTTATTAATACGATCGGAGACTGTATCATAGGCTACCTATGCATATGATATCGAGGGATATTTTTCCCAATTTTAAACTTTATATAGCTCTCCTGTAAAGTTGCAAAAATGTCACTTAAACTAACAAGTCTTTCACCTCTCAATCTATCTATAGGTACTAATATATAAATCTACAATGGTTTTTACGGATGTTCCGTTATAACTACTGAACCATGCATCCGATTGACTTAAAACTTGGTATCCACGTAGAAAATACATGTACTTAATGGATAGGCTAATATTTATATGAGTGTTGGACTCCCTACACCAGTTGCGGGGGCGTTAATGATGAGTATATTTGTGGGGGTGAGAAATAGTAATGTTAATATTAAATGCCCAGCGAAGCGGACGGGTACAGCTAGTATATACTAAAATCCTTTCACTAAACTGTACTATTCGTAATACATACAGTGCGCTTAGTGCGAGTTATTTAACGTTTTCGATGGCGATGGCGTTAAAATATTTCATACATTTGCCGCTAGGGGCGCTGTTCCAACTGCATGCAAATTTGAGTTAACTTTTACGGTAGCGAGAACGTTAAAAAACTCGCACTAAGCACACAGACAAGATAGTAAGTAATACGGGTCTGTTGAGTTTTCACGCCTAAACCTGTCAATCGACTTTTACGATATTTGGTACAAAATTAAATTGAACTAGAGGTCCCGCAGTAGTCGAAATTCGACTATAATTAATTGGAATTGTAAGTTTCTACACTATTATGATTGTATTTTATACTTCTATAATCACTAATTTCGCCAAGACTACACTATATAAAATATATTAACAAAAACAAACAATATTTAATCTCAATTTGACAACAGACGTCAAGAACAAAAGTTTAACAATAAATAGTATGCATGCGTGTGTGCGTCAGATACATGGTATGCAGTGTGTGTAATGTTTTCTTTATTGATTTAATGTATCTTTTATGCATTATTTTAAAAAAATATTAGCATTGTGCACTTCTTCTCTATATTCTCTATAAGTGTGGAAAATTTCATACTCCTCCGTCCGCGCAATTTTCGTAAAAAGGGATACAAAGTTCTTGCTTCACGTATTAATATATAGATGCTAGGAAAGAGCATAAGCTACCTTTAGTTTTACTACTAATCAGCACAACTATAAAAGTGATTTCGACGCGGGTGAAGTTAGTATTCATTAAATAAAAAAATACCGCAGAAAAGTTTTGCAATAATAAAAATGTCGAAAGGCGGTATCTTAAAAGGCGAAACAAAACAAAGCGTGAAGAAGCGGCATTCTCTGATTTCGACAAAGAGCGAATGTAAGTAATTGTAACTTTTAAAAAAATCAGGAGAGTTCGTGTTAGTTTAGTTGTCCATTGATAGATGGCACTGTTTTCTCCGGTCACCGTCCTCGTCGAACCTGTCGCTTGTGACGAAGGGCTCGACGAGTGAATTAACTCATAGACACAGCCCACTGAGTTTCTCGCCGGATCTTCTCAGTGGGTCGCGTTTCCGATCCGGTGGTAGATTCTACGAAGCACTTCTCTTGCTAGAACCAGTGCTAGCAACACTTCCTGTTAGAGCCCCGTGAGCTCACCTGCAAATCAAAGAGAAGCTGAAATAGCCTCTCAAGGTTATCAGCATAGGTAGGAAAAAAACTTTTCAGAAAATTTTTTTTTGGGTGGCTTGTATGTTGGTAGCCTAAGGACTATTCTAGCTACTCACAGACCGGTACGTGGCCTCAGAGGCTCAGCCTGAGAGCTAGAGAATGGCTAACATCGACCCAAGCAAGAGCAGTGCTTCCCTGAATCCACCATCGGATCGGAATCGCTGTCTCTATGGGCTACTCCACAAGTCGAACTCTGTCTTAATTGACAAGTTTGAGGAGAGCTGTAACCGCTGCTTAAAGACTCTAAAAGCATCAAGTACCGGTGTTTGAATCCTTTGACTTACAAGATGAAATAATAACATCGTGTAATAAAAAATTGCGCAATGATCAAAGACTGGCGGTAGGATGTATTGTGACTCAGCGTGGGTGGTAGATACGACAGCGGCTTGGCTCTGCCCCTGGCCCCCTGGTATTGCTGAGGTCCATGGGCGACGGTAACCACTCACCATCAGGTGGGCCGTATGCTCGTCTGCCTACGAGGGCAATAAAAAAAAACGACAGCCGCGAACCGGCTTGGTGCTCCGGTCTGAAGAGTTGAAAGAGTTACAATAAACAATTGTGACTCAATATTTTCTTCGGCTTTCGCGTGTCCAATTACAATTACTTTTACGGTTTAATCAAGAATTTATTGCCATTATACTTATTTTTTCCAACGTTTCTCAAAGTTTTCGTTTTCACGGATACGAGGATAGTTGTAACTCAGACCTCATGTCTCATGGCTACAGCAACCCGGTACCAGGTGGACCGAGAGCTCGTCTACCCATCTAAGCAATAATGGTATATAAGAGTTTTCACACCGGAAAACCTTATGAAGGTTTTGCGAAGAATCAAAAGACCCATATTACAGAATACAGATCATAATGCGAGCACGCCTTACTGGTGGTAGAACCTCTTAAGTCCGCACGGGTAGATACCACCGCCCTGCCTATTTCTGCCGTGAAGCAGTAATGCGTTTCAGTTTGAAGGGTGGGGCAGCCGTTGTGACTATACTGAGACCTTAGAACTTATATCTCAAAGTGGGTGGCGCATTAACGTTGTAGATGTCTATGGGCTCCAGTAACCCTTTAGCACCAGGTGGGCTGTGAGTCCGTCCATCAATTTAAGCAATAAAAAAAAAACGCCTCCTTCTACTCGTCTTAGAACTCTGCGTCTATGTTAGATAAGTTTCTCTTCAATCTTTCCAGGGTCATCTTCAGATGAAGACGAAGGTGCACAGCCCCACGAGAAAGCCATAGCGGCCGGTCAGCCCAACCCACCTTATTGTGTGAGGAATATAGAGCAAAACGCCTTCGGTCGGCGGGAGATTGAGATCGCAGAGCAAGAGATGCCAGGGATCATGGCACTGCGTGCCAGAGCCAAGGACGATAAACCTTTGAAAGATGCCAAGGTACTGTCAATTTTGATACTTTGATTTCAACTGAATCGTAGGAAAAGATATCGAAACGCAGCGAACGTTTTTTCTACTGGTGGTAGGACCTCTTGTGAGTCCGCGCGGGTAGGTACCACCGCCCTGCCTATTTCTGCCGTGAAGCAGTAATGCGTTTCGGTTTGAAGGGTGGGGCAGCTGTTGTAACTATACTGAGACCTTAGAACTTATATCTCAATGTGGGTGGCGCATTTACGTTGTACATGTCTATGGGCTCCAGTAACCACTTAACACCAGGGGGGCTGTGAGCTCGTCCACCCATGTAAGCAATAAAAAAAAAGGACTCGGTTAAGCTAAGTATAACCCCTTGAGGTTGCTAGCTGTAGGTAAGCAAAAAAAATTGCGATTAAAGCTAAGAAATTTGTAGCTATGGTTTTTTTTATTGCCGTATAGGCAGACGAGCATACGACCCGCCTGATGGTGTTTGGTTACCGTCGCTCATGGGCCAGGGGTAGAGCCAAACCGCTGTCTACCATTTAATACTCTCCACATGCCTCATTTGAAGAAGGACATGTCATAGCGCTCGGGAAACACCGTGGAGGGGAGATCATTCTAAAGCCGGATGGTACGTGGCAAAAAAGATCTCTCGAAACGCACTGTGGGCGAACGCAGTGGCTCTATGGTTTTGTTAAGTCAAAAAAAAAACGAATACAGTTTAGTTAAACATACTTTTAATTCCATTGCGGCTCTAGATCGTCACGTCTCTAAGCTCTGACATTGAGTACTACGAAGTAATACGAAGATTTAGTTGGCTGCCCCACCCTTTAAACCGAAACGCATTACTGCTCCACGACAGAAATAGTCAGGGCGGTGGTACCTTTTTTTTTTTGTACCTACCCGTGCGGACTCACAAGAGGTCATACCACCAGTAATTACGCAAATTATAATTTAGATGTTATTCTTTCACCGTGGAAGTCAATCGTGAACATTGGTTAAGTACGTATTTCATTAGAAAAATTGGTACCCGCCTGCGGGATTCGAAAACCGGTGCATCGTTAGATACGAATGCACCGGACGTCTTATCCTTTGGGCCACGGCGACTTCAAAACTGTTCGATTGTTCTCAGATCGTTGGTTGTACGCACATCAACGCTCAGACAGCGGTTCTGATTGAAACCCTGGCCGCGTTGGGAGCCACCGTGCGCTGGGCCGCCTGCAACATTTACAGCACCCAGAACGAAGTGGCCGCCGCCTTAGCGCACGCGGGTAATTTCGATTTCATTCATAAATCATCGGGCCTCATAGTTAAACAAAACTTTATTCGTTTGCCAAGTTAAACCTTTTTTATTAATAGCCAAACGTAAATTGACAGGGTCACCGACCCCGAGCGTTTCCTAATTATTAATTGTGTTCCATTGCGTGCCGTGTGAGAATTTTAAGCTTGCGTTCCATTTATGTTTTAAATCGTATCTGGTATCTTTGTATTTTAGATCAGTGATTCTCGATTCTGTTTCGCGGCACATTTTGAACCATTTCAAACTTTTGACGAAGCTCAAAAGCTACTTACCCTATATGTAAAGTAACTTGTGATAATAATTCTTAATGTCAAAGTGCGCGACACACGAGAATGTCGCGGCGCAGAGTTTGAGAATCACTGCCTTGTACATTTGGCTTATGTATTCGAGGATGGTTCAAGGGAACTGTTAAAAGATCGACTTTCGAAAACAGTAATCCTGAGGACACCAGAGTGGGAGGAAGAGAGGTCGTTAACCTCAACGGAACCTCGTGCATCTATCTGTAGCAAGGTTCTACTTGACTACAACGGTTCTTGGTCCCCGAATCTTAGCTTCCAGTGATCCCAAGTCGCATATGAGACCAGAGACTGCTTACTAGGGTGAGCCAAAAATAAACTTCTAATTTTTCTTTCTTTAGGTACTACGAAAATATCGTCCTTTTTAGGCCTTTTTGTAGGCCGTTTAATTCCCTACAAGAATATATATTTCTTTTTACTGCAGGATAATTCGTTGAGATACAATAAAGTTACAAAGAAAAAAAAATCCTGTGTTTATTTAAATGGGAAAACAAAAATCACGGCACCTCTAAACATTAAAGCTCAAACTTTACCAGATTTTTTTTTGTCATCTTGGACGATATTTTCATAGTACCTAAAGAAAGAAAAAAAAATTTTTTTGCCCACCCTACTGCTTACGCAAAGCAAACAAGAGGTAGGGATTCCCCCCAATCCCCTCGGACAACCCCCCTCAAACTGTCAATGCTCTAAAGGTTACGCGATATTCGCGTGGCGCGGCGAAAGCGAGGAGGCTTTCTGGTGGTGCATCGACCAGTGCTGCACCCCGACGGCGACGTGGCAGCCCAACATGATCCTAGACGACGGAGGTGACGCCACGCACCTCATGCTCAAGAAACACGGAGCCGCCTTCAAGAATATCAAAGGTGTAATATTACAGGAACAGTCTGCACACGGACGCGGTTAGGGAGTCGTGTATTCGATTCCCGAAATCGGTACCCTCGATATAGAACGGTGTTTCCCAACGTAGGGCCCACGCCCCACAAGGGGGCAATTAAGGGGGACAATCGCACTAAATTAATAAAAAAAACCTGTATTAAAATTATTATGAATTAGAATTTCAATTTTATAATATATGTTTTGAAATATTACTTACTGTGTTCTGATAACAATTTCATAGTGATTTCTTCCTAAAATCTATCATCTATGTTTCTTAAATGAACAAATATTTTTTTTTATGTTTGAAATTATGTATCTGGGGCATAAAAAATTTAGAAATGTTACAGTAAGGCATGACACCAAAAAGGTTGGGAAACACTGATATAGACACTTCGAAGTTAGGGTCCGTTCGTCCTGGTCTCTTGTGCGTCCTCCGTCACCCTCGACACGAGAGACATTGAACGTAGAATGCTATTTTTAATTAAGATTGCAACAGGTACATTAGATATTAACTAGTATACTACTAAGGTTTGTTTTTAGAGCGCTTTTAACTATTTCAATACAAAGCTGAACCGTGTGAAGTGTGTGTGTGTGTGTGTTTGTGTTTGTGTGTGTGTGATTTACGCAGCTTAGTAGGAAGAAGGTGACGGTAGAAACGCCTCAAAAAATCAACCACCTTATGGTATAAAACGGATTTCAGTATATTGAGCGAACTACCGTCAAATTTTGTAAATAAAAATATTTATGGGCATTTACGTTTCTTTGCACACAGTAATAACTGATCGTATCTTAAGCGCTTTATTCACGATCTATCAAGCACGCACGACACAGGACCGCTCTGACGTACGTCCGCGTTATTCACTATCTATCTGCACGACGTTCACGGTGGTGGGGGCACTCGCTGGATGCAAAATTGGTCGTGCAAATCCAGCAAACAATTAATAATAATTATCGGCGTACGTCAAGCCTATTCATGGTACTTTTGCATCGTGCATCGTGCATGGCCTTGGCGGGACGTACATCAAGATGGAACATGAATAAAGCGCTTTAAAGTATAGCAGAGAGCTGATCGAGCATTCCAAATATTTCTTTTTATAGAAAATTAGACGGTAGGTAGAAAAAATGAAATGTCGACGAAAAACACTTCAGTATGTCGTGAAGTATTCGAAATATCAGATGTAATAAGCGCGAGATATCCATACCACCTTACCCTTGTGAGTTGTGATCCATGGATGAGACCAGGATCCCGGCTGGGACTTTTGTAAACCAAAAGTCTTTAACCAGCACTGAGACCGCTTGGCTCTGCTGTGAAAACTCTCGCAGCTCTGTGCTAATGCCGAGCCGTTCTCTTCCACCAGGTATAGTAGAGGAGAGCGTGACGGGAGTCCATCGGCTCTATCAGCTCAGTAAAGCGGGCAAGCTCTGCGTGCCAGCGATGAACGTGAATGACTCTGTGACGAAAACGAAATTTGATAATTTATATTCGTGCCGGTGAGCGCCTTTTGATCATTAGTCCTTGGTTTAGAGGTAGGACTGATCATCGTGATGTATGATGGTTGTGTGACGGGCGTCCCGATATCTAGGCGGGTACCTATGACTGCTTCATGACAGGTATGGGCAGGATGGCGACACTTACCGCTGGGAGTTTGAGGGACAGTTGGTTGATTAGGAAAATAAAGGTCATTTCTGGTAAGACGTGATGAGGGTAATGCTCTGCCTCTCCAAGCTCCTTGCGCTTGTTAGGAAGTCGTGGCCTAAAGGATAAGACGCCCGGTGTATTCGTATCGAGCGATGTGACAGTATTAGGGTTCGAATCCCGCGGGCTGGTAACAATTTTCCTAATGAAACCCGCGAAATTTTTATAAATTACGCAATTACTGGTGGTAGGACCTCTTGTGCGTCCTCACGGGTAGGTACCATCGGCCTGCCTACTTATGCCGTGAAGCAGTAATTCGTTTCGGTTTGAAGGGTGGGGCAGCCGTTGTACTGTACAACTGAGACTTTGAACTCATGTCTTAAATTGGGCGATTTATGTTGTTAATGTCTAGGAAAATCTCCAAAAGACCATATTAAATTTAATAGCAAATTCTAAATTATTTACATATATTACATTACAATTACATTCATCAGTTAATCTTGACGGTATCTGTAACGGACTGTCCAACAGCGCCATCTATTAAAATTTATTGAACCAATTTATTTTTGAAACAGTTTTTGTAGATGGCGCTGTTTTAAAAATTAATTTTCTTTTTAGAGAAAGCATAATAGACGCGTTAAAACGTAGCACGGACTTGATGTTTGGCGGCAAACAGTCTGTGGTGTGCGGTTACGGGGAGGTCGGGAAGGGATGCTGTCAGGCCCTAAAGGCCCTCGGGTGCGTGGTGAGTATACATAACAAAAATACAAGCATTGTTGATTTAGTAGAAACTTTTTTTTATTGTTTAAATAGGTGGATGAGCTTACGGCCTCCCTGGTGCTAAGTGAATACCGGAGCTGATAGATACTTACGACGTAAATGCCGCCATCCACTTCGAGCAATGAGTCGTAAGGTCTCAGTTTTAACAGTACAACGACTGTTCCGCCCTTCAAATCGAAACGCATTAATGCTTCACGGCAGAAACGGGCAAAAAAAAAAAAAAAAAGAGTGGTGCTTTGCATGCATGCTTAACGCTAAGCGAATCGTGAGCTCGTCCATCTGTACTAAAACAAAAAAACATCACCCTGTACGACGCGCTCCAAGCGTGCTAATATTCGCATCCGTTTCCAGGTGTACGTCACGGAAATCGATCCGATATGCGCACTGCAGGCCGCCATGGACGGCTTCCGGGTCGTCAAACTCAACGAGGTACTTGTGAGCCTTATGTACGCAGGAAGGGTCACTGAAGTCCCGTAGGACTTTCATAGAAAAAAATTTTGCACAAGCTCTTGTTTCCTTCTTCCTAGGGTTTTCTGGGTCTAGTACCAGGGATAGGGTTTAGGGTCTAGGTTTTTCCGCTGTCCTAATTAAACTCTTCGACTTTGCCCGGTCATCGACCTCCTCGTATAAGAGGTTATTTTTTTCCATACTTTATACCATATCTGCCTTTACCACATCCAACCGACTTTCATTACCGCGAGATCTTGAGATCTGGTACGTAGAGGATATGTATTTCTGAAGTTTCTGGTTGTATTGTTGACCGCGGGAACCCCCCTACTTTAACCGGGTTCTGCCCTTGGACGGAGATCAGGTGTGAGCGTGAAGGGCAGTCGAGTGTGATAAGGCCCTAAACACATCCTTGGTCCCGAGGTTCGCAGTCGCTTGACCAGTCCCACATACCCTGTGCGTCCCCTAGGAGACCTCGCAGGGGTTCGGTCCTCAACCCGAAAAAAAAAAACTACTTCTACTAGTCTGTGGGGTCTTTCGTGACCGTACCATCGGAGACGACTTTTCTGCAGCTTACTAGCTGCGTCACGAACTCCAACACTGCCGTGGATATACACATTTTTTTATTGCTTAGATAGATGGACCAGCTCACAGCCCACGTGTTGTGAAGTGGTTACCGGAGCCCATAGACATCTACAACGTAAATGCCGCCACCACTTTGAGATATGAGGTCTAAGGTCTCAGTATAGTACAACGGCTGCCTCATCCTTCAAACGCATTACTGCTTTACGGTAGAAATAGGCAGGGTGGTGGTACCTACCCGTGCGGACTCACAAGACGTCCTACCACCACGTTACGAATGCGATCTAGTCATCATAATGCGCCACACATCCAGCGCAGCATCATCATATCAATGACGTGCAGTTGCTGTACATGTCTTCCGAGGACCGAAAACGTTTCGCTGTCGTAAAATGTATAGTATTGCTACGCGTTGGGGTTCGGGATAAATAAAAATTCCACCGAAGTATTATTATTACTACTATTACTATTATTATTACTAACCGACTGCGTACCATCTCTGCAACGCTTTTATAGTCGATACGACATCCCTAGAATCATCGAGAACATTCCTCACAAGTCGAGTATTTTCGATGCGCGCTTCCGCTATCTGACAATAGATGGCGTTGCACTTCTCGAGCGTTCTAAATGTTACTAGATCCTTTGGTATTCGTTCCGGTTATTCGGTGCTAGATGGCGTTACTCTTGCAAGCGTAACAGTATACTGAGCACCTTGTATGTGATACGTTGATAGGTCATAAGGCAGGTGGATATCGTGATCACGGCGACGGGAAATAAAGGCGTGGTGACGCGGGAGCACATGGAGAGGATGAAGAATGGCTGCGTGGTGTGCAACATGGGCCACAGCAACACCGAGATCGACGTGTACGCCCTAAAGACCCCAGACTTACTGTGGGAGAGGGTCCGCAGCCAGGTAACTAGGAGCCGCCCCACAATCATTATTCGAGATGATCCCCTCAACGCCTTTTTATCATCGCACCTCACGCCATCGGAGCAGTTCAACTATATTATCTGGAACAGTTGCGTTCATCGACAGTGCGTTTCCCAAAATGTTTTTTGCCACGTACCATTCGGCTTTGGAATGAGCTCCCCTCCACGGTGTTTCCCGAGCGCTATGACATGTCCTTCTTCAAACGAGGCTTGTGGAGAGTACTTAATGGTGGGCAGCGGCTTGACATTGCTGACGTCCATGAGCGACGGTGACCAGGTGGGCCGTATGCTCGTCTGCCAAAAAAAAGCAAAAAAAACAAGGACCACGACAAGTATCGCCTATCTGCTAAACTGCCTATTTGTCTATCCTATTAATTGCCTTCCAGGCGTTCCTCACAGGATATCCTTCGGTGATCAGCAACTTGCGTACTTAGCGGGTGTATTCTATTAAATACCATCACGAAAAACTTTCACGCCGAAGGAGAAACGCCGTGTAATGAAAATTGAGTCCGCAAAAATAATAATTTGGGTAATTTATGGTGGTAGCCCGCACGGGTATGTACCCTCATCGTGCCTAAACCTGTCGTGAAGCAGTAATGCTTTCAAGATCGAAGGATAGGGGCAACCGTTTTGCCATTTTGGGAAGCCGTCGTGGCCTAAAGGATAAGACGTCCGGTGCATTCGTATCGAGCGATGCACCGGTGTTCGAATCCCGCAGGCGGCTACCAATTTTTCTAATAAAATACGTACTCAACAAATGTTCACGATTGACTTCCACAGTGAAGGAATGACTTCGTGTAATAAAAATTCAAAACTCGCAAAATTATAGTTTGCGTTATTACCGGTGGTAGGACGTCTTGTGAGTCCGCACGGGTAGGTACCACCGCTTTGCCTATTTCTGCCGTGAAGCAGTAATGCGGCTTGAAGGGTGGGGCAGCCGTTGTGCCATGCAATGGAGAATCAGTTGATGGTGGAATTCTTCATGAATACATTAGCTGCGCGGCAGGGAGTTCCACAAAACTCTGTACTTCTCCCAGGTGGACCACATAATATGGCCGAACGGCAAACGCATCGTGCTGCTGGCCGAAGGGAGACTAGCGAACCTCTGCTGCTCCTCCTTACCCTCGTTCGTGGTGTCCGTGACCGCGGCCACCCAGGCCCTGGCCCTCATCGAGCTGTACAACGCGCCCAACCAGAGGTACAAGGTGCGTAGACTCACGGACCAGTTGTACGTGGACGATATCATGGTATTTTAGTTATACATAGACGATATCATGGTATTTAAGTTATACATAGACGATATCATGGTGTTTTAGTTATACATAGACGATATCATGGCATTTTAGTTATACATAGACGATATCATGGCATTTTAGTTATACATAGACGATATCATGGTTTTTTAGTTATACATAGACGATATCATGGTGTTTTAGCTATACATAGACGATACATGGTATTTTAGTTATATATAGACTATATCATGGTGTTTTACCTATACATAGACGATATCATGGTATTTTAGTTGTACATAGACGATATCATGGTATTTTAGTTATGCATATACGATATCATGGTACTTTAGTTATACGTAGACGATACATGGTATTTTGGTGTGAACGAATGAAAGAATGGGTGAATGAAAGAACGACTGAATGAACTTGTTAACCTTAGATGCTTTCGGCTAACGTGTCTACGGCTTAATCTCGGAGTGGAAGTAATTAGTTACCTTTGATTTTTTATTTACTGTACATTTTGTAGCTACCGGAGCTCTCGGTCTTTCGGGGACTGTAGACAGAGTCAATGTCAGATGTATTAAAGCTTCACTACGGAAGTACTGGTGACCAGACTGTCTTGGAAAGTGGGGGAGGGGGGTTGGGGGAAGTGGGATCCACGAGATTAAATCGTATACCGTTTTGTTATTTTGTTATTACGTATTGTACAAAGTATTCGCAGATTTACCAATGATGTCTAGATCTAGAAGTGAATTCTAGTAGCTATTTATTTCGAATATACACCACTGATTTTTATTCCCATAAGCAACATTACCGCGTTTGCTGTCGATGTTCAACAAAGAACAAAAAAATACGAATGGTATCCGTTAAAATAAACCTTGATAGTATGAATATAAGGTTGATTATCGTATAACGTGTTTATAAGTAACAATTATAATCGGTTCTAAATGTACTTTTACGATGTAGGGTTTCAAGTGAAATAATTACTCGATTTCCAACAACTAATTTTTCTTCAAAAATTTTTTTTCAATTTGGCAATCGTCTTATATTGTGTAGGGTTGCCAGCGTTCAATTAGAAAAACATATCTATTATTACGTACATGTTATTTACTCAATTAAATGAATGATTATTATTGGACAGAATGAAATCAATGGCAAACTTGTAATTTTGTTTTTTTTTATTGTTTAGATACGTGGACGAGCTCACAGCCCACCTGGTGTTAAGTGGTTACCGTAGCCCATAGACATCTACAATTTTCATGCCCCACACATCTTGAGATATAAGTTCTAAGGTCTCAAGTATAGTTACATATAGTAAAATATATACATATCATAAACAAATATATACCGTTTACATATAATATATACCAATATACATACTTACATACAATACGTACTAATATACTTACACACACATAATAAATCAACAGTATGGAAATGATAAATGATAATGATGCAACAAACAGCACTAAGCAGATAAGTAGTGTTCCTTCACCATTATTTTATTTTACTATACTGAGACCTTAAAGCTTAAGCTCAAGGTGGGTGACGCATTTACGCTGTAGATGTCTATGGGCTCCAGCAACCACTTAACACCAGGTGGGCTGTGAGCTCGTCCACCCAACTAAGCAATAAAAAAAAATTACTACCTCGTACATTGCTTGCTCCATTATTAATGGTAATAGAAACCAGTGGTCTGTGTATTGAAGCCTTTCGGTAAATCTGTATGTAGTGCATGTTTTTACCATCCGTGTTTACGTTTCGTGCTCACGAGTGCTCAAGATTGGCTAGTTTGATGATTAATCGTGAAGGCGCTGTTTAATCATGAATACCATTATTTTTAATGTAAATAGAATCTAAAAATGCATACCATAAATTTTGGAACTTTGTATATAATATGTGTTAAAAAAAATTCGTTGTACATATCCAAATAGTAAAAGATCCTTATTCGCGCTTCCTTCATTCCCGTTATTACTATTTTCGAATTAAAGATAATGCGACTCAATTCCTATATTCACTAAAGATTTCTTAGTCGCCTATCTAGCCGATACATCGGTACATACATGATAAAAAGGGTTCCAATATATACGTAGGTATCCACCCGAATATCCTTTCTAAACGCGCCGTCAAAGTTTTTACTGGTGGTAGGACCTCTTGAGTCCGCACGGGTAGGTACCACCGCCCTGCCTATTTCTGCCGTGAAGCAGTAATGCGCTTCGGTTTGAAGGGCGGGGCAGCCGTTGTAACTATACTTAAGACCTTAGAGCTCATATCTCAAGGTGGGTGGCGCATTTACGTTTTAGATGTCTATGAGGTCCAGTAACCATTTAGCACCAGGTGGGCTGTGAGCTCGTCCACCCATTTAAGCAATAATAATAAAAACAAATTAAAATAGACCGTATTACCACTTAGTCTAAAGTATGTTATTAAATGACATCGCCTAGGAACGTTTTCCCCTATAACCCCATATATGAAAATTAAAGTAACTTTTTTTTTATTGCCTAGGTGTGTTGGCGAGTTCACAGCCCACCTGGTCTTAAGTGGTTACTGAAGCCCATAGACATCTACAACCTAAATGCTGCCACCTACCTCGAGATACGAGTTCTAAGGTCTCAGTTTTTACAGTGCAACTCCTGCCCCTCCCTTTGAACGCATTACTGCTTCACGGTAGAAATAGGCAGGGTTGTGGTACCTAGTACCTACCTGCGCGAACTCACAAGACGTCCTACCACCACTAACCAGTTTAGGGACACTCATCTCATCAACCTGCAGTATCATTTTACGCACGACATTTACTTGTATATATCGACGCTTGAAAGGCAAACGTGACTAAGCGGCAATACGTGAACTTTACAGTAGACTAATTTAAAGTTGAAATACCTGAAAAAAAACTATTTTAACGAATCTAGCTGTAGGATTTTAATGATTGTAATAGACCTAGAAATATATTTTTTTTCCGCATCGAATACGGTTATTGCCTATCATTTATGTACAAAGCAGTTATTGTCGCTTAGTCACGTTTGCCTTTCAAGCGTCGATATGAACTTATAAATGAGAAACTATAACTATTTGGATTGAAAGATTACACAGCGCCCGCACGTAAGCGATCAAGAAGCGTTATCTAATTAAAATTTATTGTTTGTAAAGCAGCGATGGACTCGTGACCAGTCGCGTAGAGACCCAGAGACGCGAGAAGTAGGTTCAATCCTAGAATGTCGCGTCCGAATGTACAGGGTGTAACGAAATACCGTCCGATCTACGGGGTGTTGTTCAGTTTCAACACACGCCTCGAATTGAAGGGTGAAATGTAATTAGTGAGTTTTGAGGGTAGATAACGTCGATACATACTTTTTACTGGTGGTAGGACCTCTTGTGAGTCCGCACGGTTAGGTACCACCGCCCCGCCTATTTCGGCCGTGAAGCAGTAATGCGTTTCGGTTTGAAGGGTGGCGTAGCCGTTGTAACTATACTGAGATCTTAGAACTTATATCTCAAGGTGTGCGGCGCATTTACGTTGTAGATGTCTATGGGCTCCAGTAACCACTTAACACCAGGTGGGCTGTGAGCTCGTCCACAAATCTAAGGATTAAAAAAAAAGGCGCATCATCATCAGCGCAAAAGTGGCCTGAGCTTACCATAGTATGGAGATAATGAGGTTCGGATATACCTTTACAATACTTCGTAGGCAAAAAAATACGTGCTAAAATTTAATGATGTTTACAGATACGCCAATTTTGCATCAAAATTTATTATGTTTTAAATAAATTGCAATATATATAAGCACGAATACGAATTGTGGGTTAGGCCGCTTTTGCACTGACGGCCCAATATATAATGATATGGATTACTTCAGAATGAATAAACAATGAAAGACTTAATTGTGAATTTTCTGTGATATAATAAGAATAACAACATTTAAAGACAATAAACTCTAATAAAATTAATAATAAAAAAATAAACAGTATTAACAAACTATACAAAACTGAACTCTCATTTTTTACTGAATGACAGACTTCACTGATTGACACTAAAGAAAAATCCTTTTTAAAAACTAAAAAGTTTTAAAAATAATAAAGGTTTTTCTTTAAACATATATTGGAGCAAAACTTGATATATTTTTTTCCTACCTATTCTAGTAACCTCGATGGGTTATTCTAGAGTTGCCGAGATAGTAGATGAGCTCACGGGGCTCATACCTGACGGCGTTGCTAACACGAACCCTAGCAAGAGCCGTGCTTCGCAGAATCTACCACCGGATCGGAAACGCGACCCACTGAGAAGATCCGGCGAGAAACTCAGTGGGCTGTGTCTGTGGGTTAACCTTGCGACGGGTTCGACGAGAACGATGACCGGCAAAACTTGAGTCGCGCTAACGACATCTTCAGAAAAACTCGCGTGTATACTAACTCTGAATAATGACCTTAGAACTTATATCTCAAGGTGGGTGGCGCATTTACGTTGCAGATGTCTATGGGCTCCAGTAACCACTTAACACCAGGTGGGCTGTGAGCTCGTCCACCCATCTAAGCAATAAAAAAAAAAAGTTCGAACCGTCGGTCTACTTGCTAGAGAAGGCGCTCGGTGAAAGACCTTCATTATCTCGTTGCTCGTAGCGGACCTAAAAATCAAGAAGACAATGCGATTTGATGTCTATTGATGGCATGCATTGCTATGCGGATGACAGCACAGGGGATGCGCGATATATCGGCCATCAGAGTCTTTCGGAGCGTGGTGCAAGAGAGACGATCAAAACTTGTGTCTGAAGTGGAGAACTCTCTGGGGCGAGTCTCCGAATGGGGTGAATTGAACTTGGTTCAATTCTACCCGTTAAAGACACAAGTTTGCGCGTTCACTGCGAAGAAGGACCCCTTTGTCATGGCGCCGCAATTCCAAAGAGTATCTCTGCGACCTTCCGAGAGTATCGGGATACTTGGGGTCGACATTTCGAGCGATGTCCAATTTCGGAGTCATTTGGAAGGCAAAGCCAAGTTGGCGTCCAAAATGCGCCAAAAGTCCAAAAGTCCTCAACAGAGCGAAGCGGTACTTCACGCCTAGATAAAGACTTTTGCTTTATAAAGCACGAGTCCGGCCTCGCGTGGAGCACTTACTGCTCCCATCTCTGGGCCGGGGCTTCCAAATACCAGCTTCTTCCATTTGACTCCATACAGAAGAGAGTCGTTCGGATTGTCGATAATCCCATTCTTCCGGATCATTTGGAACCTCTGGGTCTGCGGAGGGATTTCAGTTCCCTCTGAATTTTGCACCGTATGTTCCATGGGGAGTGCTTGAGGAATTGTTCGAAATGATACCGTCATCTCGTTTTTACCATCGCACCGTCCGCCACCGGAGTAGAGTTCATCCATACTACCTGGAGCCACTGCGTTCATCCATAGTGCGTTTCCAGATATCTTTTTTGCCACGTACCATCCGGCTATGGAATGAGCTCCCCTCCACGGCGTTTCCCGAGCGCTATAACATGTCCTTCTTCAAACGAGGCTTGTGGAGAGTATTAAGCGGTAGGCAGCGGCTTGGCTCTGCCTCTGGCATTGCTAACGTCCATGAGCGCCGGTAACCACTCACCATCAGGTGGGCCGTATGCTCGTCTGCTCGTCTGCCTACAAGAGCAATAAAAAAGTCTTTACAGTCAGAGCTATAACTGCCAATAATTGTAACGAACAATAGTTATATGAGGGTAGTTGGAAAAAATAAATTATGAGCCACACGATACGGAAAAGAAAAATTGAGGTTTGAGTGAATCGAGAGCAGAAGCTGAATTATACTTTGGAGGAACGCCAATTTTTTTTTTTTTTTTTTGATAGAATGATAATTGCAAAGGTCAACATTAAAAATTATCATGCGTCTCTTTCGCAATAGTTGACTTTGAAAGCGATTGAAGAGTTCAGAAATAGTTTCATTCGTGCGCGTTATGTCAAACGGGGTGATCGACCCCGCGAATGTTCGCGAATGTCGGTAGTTTTGAATAATTTCTCGTCTTCTAGTTTCTTCGCTTGTACAAGAGTAAGCTCTTTCTGGATCGGACGGAGTTTTCGTTACGCGCTGTAAATAGAGCGACTGTCTTGATTCGTTTTTTTGTGAAAATATTTAAAATTTTCTGTTCGCTGCAAACAGATTTGGTATAAGAAAAAATTCATTGGCGAAATCCTTTATTGAACGCACTAGCTTGATAGTAAGAAGATAAGAGGCAGTGAAAAAAATTTTGATACTATTGACAGTTGTCATAATAAATTAGTCCAAACACCGGGTTTTTTTTTTTGTTATTATTTTAATTTACCACACTGTCCCGTTCTATCAATATTGTCGTTTTCAAACTACCCACAAATTTTTTTTTAATCACATTCACACGTACACAGTAAAAATAACACTAAATTAATGTGTTTACGAGTTAATTTTGTTTGACTTCGCTTTAGCATCGTTCATTACATACATGGTCGGACCAGTGGCGAAGGCTAATTGTGTACCAGCCTAAGATCGAACCTTTAGAATTGAAGTGGCTAAAAAATTTAAGAAAATGAGTTTTATACTTTGAGCTACTTATAAACATGTATTCTATCAGTTTATAAAGGTTCAATTCAAGGTGGGTGGCGCATTTACTTTGTAGATGTCTATGGGCTCCAGTAACCAGTTAACACCAGGTGGGCTGTGAGCTCGTCCACCCATTTAAGCAATAAAAAAATATTAAAATTTTAAAATTAAACTTGAATTTTAGTTAGAAGCTCGAAGTACACTTTCCGTTTCTTTAAAAAATCTCTAGGCTTAAAGTATTAAAATTAAACCTGAAAAATTACAATTCTACAATTACAGCTTTTGGTCCTTAACAAAAAAAAAAAAAACAAGACGCTTGGATTAAGTAACTTCAATACTAAAAGCGCGAATTGTATTTCGTCTATAACAGTCAACAAATAATCTAAACTAGTGGCCCCGCAGTAGTCGAAATTCGACTATAATTATGTCATTGAAATTATAAGTTTAAACATTATTATGGTTTTATTGTCAAACACTTATTACTTTACGCTATTAAGTATTAAACATCTTTATAATCACAGATTTCGCCAGAACTACACTATAGATAAATAATATTAAAGACAAACAATAGTAATCTTTTTTTTTTTAAAGGATTTTATGACCTGGTAACTAAGGCCTTTAAGTCATGTCTTATTTTAGTTTTTATTCTTGTTTTTATGAAAAATGATAAAATGGAGTGAAATTAAATGAATATGATTAATTTGAGACATTAATCAACTGGGATGAAAGTAAATGAAATGAAATGAGATGATACGGGATGAAATATAATCTCAGTAAAATGGTGGTCATTTACTAAGATTTTTTCAGTGGACTTTTTGGAGGATTCCGAGAAGTTACGTCCAGCGGCTTTGTTTCATTTTCCCACATTTGTGCACTTTCACAGATATTAAACAGTTAATAAACCACCGTTATTACACATTTAAACCTGAAGAAACATTAAATAGGCAAAATAAAACAAATCACACAACTTCGCTCCTCGCATTCCCGCCAAAAAGTCGAATAGTAATCTTTTTTTTTTTTTTTTTTGAGATTTTNAATGAAGATGATTAATTTGAGACATTAATCAACTGGGATGAAATTTAATGAAATGAGATGATATGGGATGAAATATAATCGCAGTAAAATGGTGGTCATTTACTGAGATTTTTTCAGTGGACTTTTTGGAGGAACCCGAGAAGTTACGTCCAGCAGCTTTGTTTCATTTTCCCACATTTGTGCACTTTCACAGATATTAAATAGTTAATAAACCACCATTATTACACATTTAAACCTGAAGAAACACTAAATAGACAAAATAAAACAAATCACACAACTTCACTGCTCGCGTTCCCGCCAAAAAGTCCAGCCGGCTTTTGTTTTGCAAGTGTTGCCAGCGTTCTATTAGAAAAACATACCCAATATTACGTACATAATATTATGTACACGATTAATTGAATGATTCTTATTGGACAGAATGAAATGGAAGTCAAACTTGTAATTTTTTTTTATTGTTTAGATACGTGGACGAGCTCACAGCCCACCAGGTGGTAAGTGGTTACTGGAGACCATGGACATCTACAACGTAAATGCGCCACCCACCTTGAGATATAAGTTCTAAGGTCTCAAGTATAGTTACAACGGCTGCCCCACCCTGCAAACCCGTTGTAACTATA